AGTCTTTCTAAATCTCATCCTTTCGACATTTCCCCTGCTTTATTTCCATTGCTGACAATTGCATATGGTTTAGTTACTCCACCCATTCAAATTTTCTCCCAACAGATTTACACCTACATTTACCACAAATTTATGTAAACTTTGATGATGGTGTTGATAGCTGTGTAAATGTTGTGACCTAGTGGGTAAAGAAGGGTCCTGAAGGTGTGCTTTACAGATTTAATTTCATCTAGGACCTGTCCCTTGGAGACTGAGAGAGAAGCTGTAACAAATGGTTGTATTCTGGATATTAGAAAGGGCCGATAAAAAGATAGATAAGAAATAGCAAAAGTTCAGTACTTCTTGATGACAAGCATGGATGATGTTGGAAATAAACTCTTGAGGACTTCTATGCATTGCTAGATGGTAGAAATCAGCATTATCATTCTCCTTTCTACTTCAAACTATTACTATTTACTGCCTATTTACCACATACCTTCTGAGTGTTTTACATGAAATAGTTCATTTATTCCTTATAACAACCTTACAGGGAAAGTAATTAATCCTCCCATTTCAAATATAAGAAACCGAGGCCCAAGAGGGAAAGTAATTTTCTAGGGCCTCTCAGCTGGTAAGTAGCAGAGTGAGTCGGGTAAAGTGACTCTAGAACCAAAGCTTTTTACATACCCTGAAAAGATGTCTTACAGACTTGACATGTAGACGTGCCTCTTCAGTCTTCATGGCTAGCTAATTGATGTGCCCCCTGAAGTCAAAATGAAGGTGCCTTTGAAATCAATCCTTCCTCCAGATATCAGTCACTTAGCAGTCCCTCACCATTTCTTCCTGGATAGATATAGATACAGAAAGGTCAGTCTTGCAGAATCCATTCTGCTTCTTAACTAAATTGTCACTCTAGAGCAAACTTAAGGATTCAGGTATTTGTGGTATGACTAAAACTATGTAATAGATTCCAAATGGAACCTTAGGGGAAAAAAGATTTGCTAAAGACAAATGGAATCATCTACTAAAAAATCTGCTTCTAGCTTGATTTCTTATGAAGTTAAATATAATCAACCAATTTCAGATATGATATGTAGGTAAAGGCATAGTTTTGACTACAATGCTTCTCTCTAAAGTTGCGGAGGGTTTCCTAGCCATAGAGCTAGGTCAATCTTAATATTTGATTTTATTCTTCATTCTACCTCTTTGCCTTCTGCACTTCTGTCTACATTTATGTGTCTTTGTTATTTTCCTACATATGTGTATGTTCAGCGGTGTAGAAAAGAAATGATTCCAAGGGGTTCTTGTGTCATCTGTCTGCCTCTCTACACACTGAGATGCTTTTTTTTCTTATCCTTTAAAAAGCCCTTAGGAAATACAAATCAAAACCACACTGAGATACCACCTCACACTGGTCAGAGTGGCTAAAATGAACAAATCATGAAACAACAGATGCTGGCGAGGATGTGGAAAAATGGGAATCTTTTTGCATTGTTGCTAGGAATGCAAACTAGAGCAGCTGTTCTGGAAAACAGCGTGGAGGTTCCTCAAAAAATTAAAAATAGAATTACCCTATGACCTAGTAATAGCACTGCTAGGAATTTACCCTAGGGAAACAGGAGTTCTGATTCAGAGGGACACATGTATCCCAATGTTTATAGCAACACTTTCAATTATAGCCAAATTATGGGAAGAGACTAAATGTCCATCAGCTGATGAATAAAGAAGACGTGATTTATATATACAATGGACTACTACTTGGCAATGAGAAAGAATGAAATCATGCCATTTGCAGCAACGTGGATAGAACTGGAGGGTATTAATGCTGAGTGAAATAAGTCAGAGGAAGACAGATATATTTTCACTCATATGTGGATCTTGAGAAAATTAACAGAAGACCATGGGGGAAGGGAAGGGGAAAAAAATAGTTACAAACAAGGAGGGAGGCAAACCGTAAGAAACTCTTAAAAGACAAAGAACAAACTGAGGGTTGATGGAGTGGTGAGGGAGAGGGGAAAATGGGTGATGGACATTGAGGAAGGCACTTGTTAGCAATGAACACTGGGTGTTGTATGTAAGTGATGAACCATGGGAATCTACTCCAAAAACCAAGAGCACACTTTACACACTGTATGTTAGCCAATCTGAGAAATTATATTAATAAAATAAAATAAAAAGTCGTTAGGATACAATATGTCCATTACTGCTTAGCACTGTGACTTTGGCCACATTACGACCTCTCTGTGCCTCAGTTCCCTCAAGCATTAGATAGATTTCAATCCTACTCACTTGATACACAGAAAGGGCTTGGCATAGTGCCTGATACAAAGTAAACACTGAATGCATAATAGCTATTGTTAACTTGTGGAGGAACTGACTTTTTCCCAGGAAGGAAGGGAAGGAAACAGAACCCACATTTAAAGACTTTTACAGTTCAGATGGAGGGTCTGAGATATTTTAAAATTTAAGTCCCTTATTTAATAAGAGCTAACTTGTATTTATCAATTATTCATGCCAGGTATTGTGCTATGCCCATTATACCTATATCCAGATCTATATCTTGATAGATATAGTCATTTAATCTTTGCTCTAACTCTACAAATCACTAAAACGTATTTTGGAGAAATTAAGCAATTTGCCTAAACCCCCTGTTTAGTCGGATATGAGCCTAGATTTTTATCCTGGTTCATCAAATATGTATTCTTATGCACTTTTAGTTAGCAAAGCAATAAGGTTTCTTACACTTTAATAGCTATCATTTTCCAGAGTTTTTTCATTTGCCATGATTATTTAAATGAGAAGTTGCTCACTGTGGAATGTGCCACATGATTAAATAAGATTTTTCAGTGGTTCCAACATTCTGGACTTAACAGATCAAAAATGGAAAATTTAACATAAAATGTTATTTTAAAATTATTCCTTTACATTAAATACATTCAGTTTGGGGGGGGGAATCACTATATTGCCATCAATTTTTTTCTTTTCCAAAGAATTCATACAAACATCAAGCAGTTATTAAATAAATTAAATAATACACATCTGAGTTAGAATTTGGGATCCCTGACTTCTTGGCCAAGTTTTTAATAACATTTAAAAAAATTTCAGATATACTTCACATACCATAAAATTTACCATTTTGAAGTGTACACTTCAGTAGTTTTAAGTATATTATGTTTTGCCACCATCATCACTATCTAGTTGTAGAATATTTTTATTACCCCACAAACCCCATGTCCATTAGCAGTTAGTCACAAACTCCACCCTTCCCCATCTCCCGGCAGCCATTAATCTTTCTGTCTCTATGAATATGTCCTTAGGCAAATCTTTTACCTCTGCACAAAAACAGCTATCTCAGATCTGTGATTTGTTTTTTATTCTTTGTTGCCTATTATCAACCTGCCTGCCCCAAGCTTTACCCTGGCATGTCGTTCCCAGTGGCATATGTAATATATATAAGTTATGAGATTATGAAATTCTAAGATATCCCATCAAGGTTAGCAAATGCTACCATACATATGGATTTTATTTTATTTATTTTTGAGAGAGAGAGAGATGAGGACAGAGAGAGAGGGCAGGAAGGGGCTGAGAGACAGTGAGTGAGAGAGAGAATCCCAAGCAGGCTCCACGCTGTCAGCACAGAGCCTGATCCAGGGCTCAAACCCATGAACTATGAGATCATGACCTGAGCGAATATCAAGAGTCGAATGCTTAACTGACCAAGCCACCCAGGTGCCCCAGTATGGATTTTAATATGAAGAAATATACCACATACTTTCTACATGTCCACTGTCTACATTTACTTACAGTTTTAGTTTACTTTCAATTTACTTCCAATTTTAGATTTTCCTCATCTTTTCTTTTTCTTCTTTTGGCATCTATTTATATAAGATGTCAAATTACATACACTTTGAAATTGATTTGAGGAGTGCTAATGTTTTTAGTAATGACTACAAAACAAAATAGTATTGTAAGACCTAACTTATTTTTCTTTTAACTTATATCTAATTGTAGGATCCCAAATTCTGCTCCAAATTTGTACTATATTTAGTTGCCCTGTACACCCATACATTCTGTTCATTTCTCAGATAATTTTCTTTTAAGGTAGAAATTCAAATATATTGCTATGTTCCACTGTGATTTATCTGTTTACATATCTCTGAACTTCCGAAGGGGAAGGACTTTGTCTATACATCTTTGATTTCCAGAAAATGCCCAGTGCATGGTATGAAATACTGTTGTTGAATGAAGGAATAGGATTTAAATATACAAACAAACATATGCGTCAAAATTTATAACACTCAATTACATGTTATATTACATAACATCAATCTAGAATATTACATACACATATAATAGTTCTATATAGTTCACAGCTACGTTAAATAGTATTTAATATTTGAAAAATTCAAAATGATAAAATTTGAACACCATAAAATTTTATATGTATCGATCTTACATAGTATTATTTTATGACAAACTGTAAACTAGTTATTACACACACAGACACACACTCTGTTTAACAGAGTATTCACCACAGAGTAATTACAAGATGGAGTAACACTGAATAATGGAAAAGTTTGTGGAGATTTAAGTCAGGTAAACAAACCTGTATTTGAATTGTCTAGCACTACCTGACTGATTTGGGCTATTTCTTTCTGATCCTGAATTTTCTGTGATTGGAGATATTTAATACCATGCTTAGGGAACTGGTTTAAGGATGGAGCTAATCCATATTAAGGGCTTGACCCTTACGGCCTTCAGGAATCTTGGCGGCCACTTTCTCTCTCAGACGTAAACTAAGTAAAGGTGTTTACTTTTTTTACACGAGTCTCTTCCAGTAAGGGAAACCTACCCGGACGCCAAATATGTCAATTCAGAGAGTCCAGATAAAACTCTAAATGCTCAAAATAATCCGCCTCTAACTCTGTCGGATTGCTAAACCCGCAGGAAGCTACGGGCCGACCTCCACTATCCCAGCATTCCGCGCGCCGCTCCCGCTGCTCTTCTACCCCGTCTCTATGGTAGAGCCGGCCTCAGAGGCGGCAGCGGCGTTGGCGTCTTCCGTGAAGAAAAGTGCGAGTTCCAACTTTACTCTTGGCCCGGGAGGGTTTTGGCGCGGAGCGTCGTCATGTCAGAGAAGAAGCAGCCGGTAGACTTGGGTCTCTTGGAGGAGGACGACGAGTTCGAGGAGTTCCCTGCGGAAGGTAACCGGCTGGGCCCGGGCCTCTGGGCCGCGCGGTGACTAAGGCATCCGGGTAGAGTCGGCGCGTCGGACGCTTGGGCTCGGCCTCCAAGCGCCCGCGCCAAGTCTGGACCCCTGAGGCCGGCTCTCTCGAAGCTCTTCACGCGCTTCCCTCCGTGTGAGCGGCTTCGGGTTCGGAGTGTCACGGTGGGCCTCACCGGTGAGGCTCAATGCCTTTCTGCTTCCTCATTGGGAGGAGTCACGGTGACCTGGGTTAGCGCTGTGTGTGGGATGGTTGGTCCTTTTACTCTTCAGTCAGGTGACCCGCCACCTCGGTCCTGTCTGTGTAAACCTCTTTTCTCTTTATTTTCTCTTAGTGTAGCAGCCTGCCTTTGTCCTTAGACCATCCAGATTTAAATTCTTGTTCCCGGTTAGGCCAATCCTGCTTGCTTCTAGGACTTTACAAATGAAGCCTGTGAAGTAGGGTGGGAGGATCACGTGTTGGGTAATACACCTTATTGCTTTATCCTTGTTTCTCATTTTGGATCCCTTCAAACTAACAGAAGTTGAAGGATCTATAAGACTCTACAACGTGTACGTTTTTCTCAGTTTCATGGTTACTAAGAGGAACTGTAGTTTTCTCATTGTAAGTAATGGCAAATAGCTAACATTTGTTGGGAGATCATTCGTCTAAGGGCTTTGCTTGTATTCATTTTCATAGTTCTAGCAATTAGGTACCGGTACTACCATTTTCAGATAACGAAATTGAAATTTGGAATTAAGAAACTTACCCGATGCCACAGCTGGCTAGAAACGATGGACACGTGGCCCAGTTGACTCCAGCGCTCTTAAATCTTTCGATGTACTGCTTCTGTTTATTTTCTAGATTGTTGTTACCAGGTGGGTTTTCAGAATCCTTTGCGTTATTGGCTGATGGTTATGTAAAGGATAAATACTTGTAAGAAAAGGCTGCTGCTGGGTAGCCTTTCTGAAGGTGATGGGAAGAGAATTGTGGTTAATGGTGTACAAATCTGTTAAGCAATTCCTACTTCACTAAAATTGTGCTCAGTTGTATCCCATCGGGATCAGGATCCTATTGGGCATAAAATCCTGTAGCTCGAATATTTGTTCTTTTTATTTATGATGTCTTTTATTATTTTGCTTACGAAAGAAGACATTAGTGTGCATAGAACATAAACTAACCCAAGGCACATTTCAATTGTGGGATTCATTATATTTTGAGGGGATTGTTTTGTTTTTGTTTTGATAGTGGATTTATCTGTCCAGACATATTTTCTGTACCTCACTTTCATGTTGGTTCATAATCTAACATTGAGCTATACAGTAAAAGAAAACTGGCTTATTAAGGGCAGGATCCACTTCTTACTCAAACTTCATATTTCAAATAGTATTTATCCATTGTTTATCACTACAAGGCACAATGTTAGGCACTTTATTTACATTATCTAGTCTAATTATCACCATACCCAGAAGGAAACTGAGGCGTAGATTTAAAAAGTTTGCCATTAGGTGGTCAAGGCAGAATCTGAAAGGTCTGTGTATTCTCAACACAAACTTTTATTTTTAACCTTTAGCAAAGTAGGTGTCACATAGTAGGTGGTTAGTAAATATTTGTTGAATGAATGAAGTTGAGAATTTACTACATAGAAAGCTCTAGAGGTAACTGTACCTAATGATACACATGATTTTTCTTAGCAACTTTCATCAGTTTTTGCAGAATATGTAGTTTGTTCTTATTCTAATTTTATGTTGTGTGAGCAGCAATTTGTTCAGTTTGGTAGTTACATAGTAAAAAGTCTCACTTAAGAGAAAATGCAGAGAATATTTTTGTTTTTGAAGATGAAGGTGTGCCACAACAGACCAGTTTATTAACATTAAGTAACTCACCATTTACTGGTCACCTTATAGAAAATTTTTTGTCTTCAGGTTTGAATGTGTAGAACCTAATTCATTTAGGAGTTTTTCCATTTAGAATGAGAAATAACATTGAAATATTTACCATTGTTCTGTTCGGTTTCTTTGTTTCTTTTGTGTATAATTTAGACAGGTTTTCTTTTCGTGTTAAATTTGAATTAAGATATTGCTGTATACAAAATTACCCCACTCGGTGAAACCAATCAATATTTACTAATAAAAACTGCTCTTTAAAAAACAAACTAAAAGAAAAAAACTTGGAAAAAGATCACCAAAGAATTACTTCTCTTTTGAAACTGTGTGTGTATGTGTGGTGCCTAGCCATGGTTTAATCTCCATTGCTGCTCATTGTGATCCATGGACCAGGAGTTTTGGCATTACTTGGCAGCTTATTAGAAATGCAGCATCTCCATCGTGGGGCACCTGGGTGGCTCAGTCGGTTAAATGTCCAACTTCCGCTCAGGTCATGATCTCACCGCTCATGGTCTTGAGCCCTGCACCTGACTCTGTGCTGACAGCTCAGAGCCTGGAGCTTTCTTCAAATTCTGTTTCCCTCTCTGCCCCTCCTCCACTCAGGCTCTGTCTCTCAAAAATAAATAAATGTTTAAAAAAAGAAAAGTGCAGCATCTCAGTCTAGAACTACTGAATTGGTTTAGACTTTACCAAGATTTCTAAAAGATTTGTATGCATTTAATGTTGGAGAAACACCAAATGGCCTATTTTGAATATTTTTAGTATTTAAGTTTTCAGTTTATCTATTATGCCCACTTCTCAAGTTCTCTGCCTTCTTTAGAAGTTGTCTTTCTTGTGATTGTCCTTATAGTAAATGTGCCATTGACAAACTCACTAACAGATACAACTTAAAATGGCCTGTAATCATCTTTTCTATCTATAGGAGGTCTGATTTTCAGTGGCCTCGTTTCCTGTCTGATCCAGAAAGTGGATGATACTCATTGTCTAGGGCAGAGACTGCTACATGAAAGCCATTACTGATGTTTGACTGGTTTGACTCATGGATTGTCCCATCTTTTTGGGGAGTGTTGTTGCTACATCTCATCCTGGATAAGAACTTGTTTGGTAGGATGTCATTCAGTCTTTTTAAGGAGGGAGAATTTCTATTTTAAAAATGAAACTAAGATAATGTGTTTTCATGGAGGGCTCTTTGTTTTTTTTCTGAATAAGTTCTTCAATAGCAGTGAGAGGAGGAGGATAGGGGTGATTTTCTTTCTTTTTTTTTTTTTTTTTTTTTAAATTTATTTATTTCTAGAGAGAGAGAGACAGCATGAACAGGGGAGGGTCAGAGAGAGAGGGAGTCACAGACTGAAACAGGCTCCGAACCCACGAACCGCAAGGTCATGACCCAAGCGAAAGTCGGACGCTCAACCGACTAAGCCACCCAGGCGCCCCATGGGATGATTTTCTGAAGGTACAAAGAACAAGTCTTTTTTTTTTTTTTTTTTTTAACTTTTCATTATTTAGTCTGTGGATCTGTGTTACATTGCTAGTTCTTCACAATTATTCTAATTGATGAGTGTGTAATCTGTCCTTAAGCAAAAATTGTTTAAAAGTCCTGTTTAGGGGGTGCCTGGTAGCTCAGTCGGTTAAGCGTTTGGCTCAGGTCAAGATCTCAGGGTTTGTAAGTTTGAGCCCCACATTGGGCTCTGTGCTGACAGCCCAAAGCCTGGAGTCAGCTTTGGAATCTGTGACTCCCTCCCTCTCTCTCTCTCTCTCTCTCTCTCTCTCTTTCTCTTTCTCTCTCTCCCCTCCTCCCCCACTCACACTCTGTGTGTGTGTGTCAAAAAATAAATGTTAAAAAAAATTTTTAAATCCTGTTTAGGATCTTTGTGAAATGCATTCTGCAACTTTTTGACTATTTAAACTGATTGAGAATAGGCTTATATTAGGAATTTCAACATACTGGATGTGATTGATTATAATTAATTTTGAAGGTTTTGGCATAATTAGAATTTTAGAACTGGAAAGCCGCTTAGTCTATTTGAGAAGATGAAACTTGTCAAGCTCATATAGCTAGGTTGATAGTAGTAGAGCAGGATCTAAAATTGAAATACTTTATAATTTATTTGAAACTTCAAACAATTTTCATATCAGATATTGAAAGGGCATTAAAAATATTTTCATTAATCTCCTCCCTCTGACAGTTGGAAGTGGGTGAGAGTAAAAGTGGGAGGAACAAGTGGGCCTTTAGGTTCTTTTATTCTCTTCTTTCTGTGCCAGAATTGAGAGGATTTTTTTTTTTTGAGGGAATAACTTTTTAGAATATTTAAAAGGAAACTGAGTTTGCCTCCAGAAGCAATGATATTTACAAGAAAATTCTGTTACACTAAATATTCTGTAATTTTCTTATAATCAGTGAAATTGCTCTATTTGATAAAATCAAGAGCAGTATGCTACCTACCTTCCTATGCTCCTTGAGAAATTGCTGGCTGGGAAACTTATTGATGGAAATCTGTTGAGGCAGACAACAAGCTGGTGGTCCTCTCTGGAATAACTGAGGTATTTTCACCTAACAAAGTAGAACATCTTATACTGGTTCTTACCCAGAGAAGTATTTTTGGATGTCACTTTCACTTGACAGGTGCAAATGTGAAATCACGTTCATGACCAGCATTTAGGGGTAGAGGTCAAGGATTTTAAAATGGCTTTTGTGCATAGACCAGTCCTGCACAAGAAGATTGACCTATGAATAATGCCACTGAGGGCCACCCACGTTAAGCGCCCAACTTCGAGCTTGGATCACGATCTTACAGTTTGTGAGTTTGAGCCCCTCGTCAGGCTCTGCACTGACAGCTCAGAGCCTGGAGCCTGCTTTGGATTCTGTCTTCCTCTCCTTCTGTCCCTCCCCTGCTCATGTTCTCTTTCTTAAAAATAAATAAATGTCAATAACGCAGCTGAAAATATTTACATGAACATTGGATACCAACTGGACTAAACCAGCAAAGGATTCTTTAGAATCTTTTTAAAAATTTTTTAATGTTCATTTATTTTTGAAAGAGAGAGAGAGAACTTGAGCAGGGAGGGGCAGAGACAGAGAAACAGAATCAGAAGCAGGCTCCAGGCTCTGTGCTG